GCTCTTCTCCTTTTCCCAGCAGGTTCAGTATCCTACAAAACAGTAAAGTAAAGGTTCAGTTTGTCTGTACGGTGCAATTATATACACAAAGAAAACAGGACAAATGTCCAATAAGCTATATGCAACAGCTCAACATTCAATATGGAAAAATTCCTTACTTTAACAAAACAACTAAAATAAGGTGACTAAAGGAAATGCCACAGGTTCCCAACAATACCAAGATAATTTTAACTTTCATTTAAAACAGAGACCACTCACTTGTTATGCTAAACTAGTGAATATCTGTAACAGTGAGCAGTCACAGGTTTGTTAATCTAGGCACACATGGTGAGATAAAAATCCTGTTATTGTTATAGCACACTAACATGGCTAGGTGATGTGGAATAGTATGGTATAGTGTGATCTTGTCAGATCTTAGAAGGTAAGCAGGGTCAGTATTTTGATAGAGGGCCACCAATGAAGACTGTGCAGAGGGAAGCAATGAAAAACCAACTCTGCTTCTCACTTGCCTTGAAAGCCCCTTGCTGAGGTCGCTATAAGTCAGTTGCAACATGAGGGAGGGCACCTAAATACATAAACACAGCTACCACTCTAGAATTATTTGGAGAAGCAGACTGCATTTACTTATAGTAGGAGGACCAAAACAGAGATTGGCAGAATCCTCTCACACACCATTGATTTGAGAGGAGTTATGTATTTGGGAGCATTTCTTCCTGTGCAAATATGTCAAGAATTTCCAAGTATACTGCTTGTTCCAGTCATGTATGCATGACTCTCAACTGACACAATCTGCTTTTAAAAAGTTTCTTAAACACAACCTACTTTGTAAAAGAACAACGTTCAAGTCCAGTGGCACCTTTTAGACCAACAAAGTTTTATTCAAAGTATAAGCTTTCATGTGGACAGAGGCGATACTCTTCTTCAGATACATTAAAATAGAGAGGAAACATACTGAAGGAAATAAATATATCAAAATTGAAGACTGATGGGCAGATGTACCTTTCTTAATTGTGGAATGCTGAGAGTAATTATTTGAGACCCTATAGTTACACTCAGTTTGTCTCCATTGTCTGGGCATATGGTAAAGAAGACCTGGACAAATTCCACCAGGCATTCAACAACTTCCACCCCACCATCAACCTGACAATGAGCCAATCCATGCAAGAAACACAATTTCTGGACACCACTGTACAAATACATGACGGACGCATAGATATCACCTTATACCAGAAACCTATTGATCAACAAACATATCTACATGCTGCCAGCTACCATCCTAAACAGGGCTTTTTTTTGTAGAAAAAGCCCAGCAGGAACTCATTAGCATAATAGGCCACACCCAACAGCAGAAATCCATTAGCATATTAGGCCACACCCCTGATAGCACAACTCATTAGCTTATTAGGCCACACCCCCATGTTACCAGAAGTGTGGTCATCCAGCCACACCCACCTCTTGCTTCTTATTCTGTTTACCTTGTTTGTTGTCAAACCCTAGGGCTTTTTTTGTAGCAGGAACTCCTTTGCATGTTAGGCCACACACCCCGAATGTAGCCAATTCTAATGTGTTTCTGCTGTTGGGTGTGGCCTGTTATGCTAATGAGCTCCTGCTGGGCGTGGCCAACTCAGGAGCCAACCGGAACTCTGTTCCTGTGCGTTCCTGCCCAAAAATTGCACTGATCCTAAACATACCAAACAACCTATTGTCTACAGCAAGCCCTACACTACAACTACATCTGTTCCACTCCTACAGACAAAGATTCTCATCTGAGGGATCTACAACAAACCTTTTTAGAACTAAAACATCCACCCAATGAAGTCAAGAAACAGATTAACAAAGCCAGAATGATATCCACAGAAAGCCTGTTACACGACAGGCCCAAAAAAGACAATAATAAAACAACACTAGTAGTCACAGCTTTCAACTCAAAAGAGTTCAAAACATCATCAATGACTTACAACCTCAACTGAATAATGACAGTTCTCTTTCACAAGCACTGGGGGGGCAGACCTTTTCTTGCACACAGACCCCCAATCTTAAATAGCTCATCAACCACAATAATACAACATCTAACTTGAACAGGGACACTGGTACCAAAGCTTGCAATAAACCCAGATGCCAGCTTTGCTGCCACATACACCCAGACAACATGATCACTGGACCTAACAAATCAACTATGCCATCTCAGGCTCATTCACTTGCTCATCTTTTAACATTGTATATGCCATTAAACGCCAGCAAATGCCCTTTGGTTCTCTACATAGGGCAAACAGGTTAAACCCTACGCCAAAGGATAAATGGACACAAATCCAATATCAAAAATCGTAAGACTGAGAAGCCTGTAGAAGAGCACATCAGCTTTCCAGGACAGACCTCAAAGTAGCTGTTTTATTGCAAAGGAACTTCAGGAACAGACTACAAAGGAAAATTGCTGAGTTACAAGTTATTACAACACTCAGAACAATGGAACCCTCAGGACTTAACAGGGATATTGATTTTTTATCTCATTACATATGCTAACATTATTCAGTCCTTACATCTGTAACCAGAAGGGCTATATTTTATTTTGCTTCTTATTTGGAACAGTAGATTGGAATAGTAAATTGTAATGTAATGAACAGTAGAATGTAATGTAATTTGGAATGGTAGATTGGAATGTATTTCTCTTGGGGCAGAGGTGATACACTGCACAGGCAACCCCCACCTCAAAGAAGAGGATGCTGTAAGGTCACCTCCACACTTGAGGGGAGACGCATGGAGCATAAAGGCAGAGTCTCAGTTAACTATTATCAGCATTCCACAATTAAGAAGGATACATCTGCCCATCAAACTCCAATTTTGATATATTTATTTCCTTTACCATATTTCCTCTTGGAATTAAAACCAAACAAATGGTAACCATATAAACAACGCTTGTTATTCCTGTTTGGTCCGTGAATCCATTAAACATCTTCATTATGTTGTATGCTAACTTGCTGCTTACCCTCTGCCTATATGTATGGACTGGTAACTTCCATTTCAATGTCTCTAAAGAAGTGTTCATGAACACAAAAGCTTATATTTTGACTGAAATGTTGGCTGTAAAGGTGTCACTGGACTTGAACTTTGTTCTGCTGCTTCAGACCAACACTGCTACCCCACCTGAATCTGTCTACTTTGTAAGTTTCTGAAACAAAACACCACCATATGTAAAGATGTGGTTGCCTTTACTTATTATTTTACTACTTAGATTATTATGTAATCTATTTTCTTATATTACAACAGAATAAACACTGTTTTAGTCAACTACTGTCTCCATTTGTAATCTTATTTCACGGAATCATTTGTTTTAAGTATTACACTGTCATTTCTGTTTTGTAATTTTGTAATCCAAATTTCAGGATTGTTTGCATGTAATATACTGTTTTATTAATTTAAAAAAACCCACACACAATCTAAGTCACAGTAAGAAAGGCAGCCTATACACGAAATAAGGATAAATAAATCTATTTCCTAAAACAAGGCCAGGGCATGACTGGACTATGCCTCAGTTTCATAAAGAGCATATCAGAGTTCAACTATGCAGGAGAACAAGGTAGCAGAGGCCTGAAATAACAGAAAGGACGACATCATTTTGGAGAGTAGATTATGTGTTCCAGTTCCTTCCCATTAAAAAAATACTATGCAAAAAGAAAAAAAGAAAATAGAAAAATAGAAAAATAGTAACGCAGGGCCCTCCGTTTCTCGTGTCGATTTAATTGCAGAGGCATTTGTTTCTGTTTTTTTTAACACGGGGGAGCATCACAAACTGTGACCCTCTACCTACGAGAGCGCAGTCCATGCTTCCACCTCACCCTGTCTCCCATTGTTTCCAATGGGCAATCCTGTCCTTCCTTTTAGTAGATCCCAAAAATGGTAACGCAGGGCCCTACCCACGTTTCTCCGTTTGTCGTGTCGATTTTCTAATTGCAGAGGCATTTGTTTTTGTTTTTTTTAACACGGGGGAGCATCACAAACTGTGACCCTCTACCTACGAGAGCGCAGTCCATGCTTCCACCTCACCCTCCTGCACGTGGGAACCCCGCCACCATCATCTCACATTACAATCCAGCATAGCCCCCAACCCCCAGCCAGGCCCGCACCGTGTGCAAAGACTCAGAAGGCGCCATTGCAGCCGCTGCACCACCCTCACTTCCCTCCTCAGCAGGCACAAGGACATCAGCAGGAGGAGCCGAGGCAGAGCCGGCTGGCCGAGATGGCCAGAAGAATTTACTCAATACTGTTTGCCCTCGGGCTTCGCCATTCGGGTTCTTCCGCCTTCGCCCCCGGGGCATGTTGACTGGGAAGACGGAAACTACAAAGCACCGGCCAAGGAAACCTGCAGCCCTACCGCCGGCGCGCTTGGCAGTAACAAAGGCGCACGCCGCGCAACGCAGGAATGGAGTTAGGGCTCCATCCCAAAGTATTTGGCTTTGGCCGGAAATGGGTGGTCTTCAGATTTGCTCACGTGTCTCGATTTGGCGGGCTAGTTAAGTACAAGGTGCAAAGCTCTCGGCGTAATTCCGGCTAAGGCTTTCACACAAGCAGTTATGGTTCGCACGTTCAGTTCCATTGCTGCTGTGTCCGAGAACATGGGTATTGGGAAGAACGGACAGCTTCCGTGGCCCCCACTCAAGTAAGGATTTATTTCGATTTCTGTTAACTAGTCCCGCGTTTTGTTGCTTATGAGAAAGACTACAATTCCCGTTATGTATTGCTAAACCACCGTACGTGGACTGATCATTTCGCTCGGGAGCAGTGTAGGCTGGGAGCTGTAGTTGTGGCTGTGCCTAGATAAAAAAAGGCGGGCAAGGGAAACCTTTACTTTTAGCGTTCTCCTACTGAGAGGCCAAATCGAAGGAGAGATGTACTAGTAAACCTTCACTTGTAGAGACAAGTATCTCTTTTACGCTATGAATAATTAACTAGGATTGCCAAATCTAGCTTGGGAAATTGCTGGAGGTTTAGGGGGAAGAGGAGGGAGCTCAGTGGGGGTATGTTGCTGTAGAGTCTACCCTCCAAAGCTGTCGTTTCTCAGAGGAACAATGTTCAAGGCTAGCAGTATTTTAAAGACCGACACGTTTTTCAAGTTTTCATTAGTCTTTAAGATGCATCTGGACTTGAATTTTGTTCTGCTATTGCATACTGACAGGACTACCCACCTGAAACTGATCTCAAGTCTGGAGTCTGCAGAACTCAAAGCTGCACCCAGTCCTTTGAGCAATGTTGCATTCTATGAAACGCAGCTTCCTTCTTTTGCTTTAGTTGAGTCTGTTTGATGATAGCTCCCTTTGCCCCCTTCAGAGTCTTGCCCTGAGAGAAAGGGGTGCTTTCAGTTTTTCTGAGCCTGGTGCTGGGAGTAACTGATGAGACAGATTGCTTGCTGTTTTTGAAGCCTGGAAGAGGAGCCTATGGTCCAGAGCTCAGCTCCCCCCGCCTCCCCCAAACTGGGCCCCTGTCTTCTCTGAAGCAGCAGTAGCACTGGGGTTAACCAGGACCAAGGAAGGACACCCAGCCTTCTCCCAAGATGTGCCAAATTCCATTGAGAGCTGAACTGTCAACCTGCAGCAGGGAGCGATCCTGTGAGTCCAGACCTGTTTGAAGGCACCTTGTGGGCTGGCATCAAGTTAATGCTTCCCAAGACCAAGAAAGACTTGCAGTTGGGCTTTAGCAAGACTGTGGAGAGCAGTTATCATCCTGTTGTTCCATCAGGCAGCAAACCTGCTGTACTAGGGGCCATCCTCCATTCCCAGAAGAAGTGCCAGCCTATGTCTTCGCAAGACCATTCTTGGCTAAGATTGAGAACCAATAGAGTTTGGATCCGGAATTACCTCCCACCCCCTACCTACCTACCTTCCTTCCAATCCCTTCTCAAAGCCCACCTTTTCCACAGATACATCCAGGGCTTTTTTTTTTCTGGGGGGAATGTGCCAGAATGGAGTTCTGGAACCTCTTTGACAAAAATCTTTTAAAAATGTTTAAAAGTTCATGAGTTTTCAGTGTCCAGATTGAAAACTTCATTTTGCTCTTGAGAGTTCTGGCACCTGTCTTTCAAAACAAAACAAAACACAAAACTCTGGATATATCAGTGCACGCCTTTCCCAATCAAAGCTAGCCCTAAGCACATGCAGTTAGAATGAGCACATATTCTTACCCTGTTTATCCCCGTTTCTTTTTTGTTGTTTCCCTCATTCCATTTTTTACATTCTAATCACATCAAGGCAAGGACCTGATTTCTAGTATTCTGTAATATGCTGTGGCGTAAAGTAAATGCGAATAGTTTCTGTAGATGGAGGAGGAGGAGGTTCAGCTTAAAAACTGCCATATGAGTCAGCTGTGTTAGAGGACTGTTTTGGAGAACTTTTAAGAATGCATTTAAAATTTCAGTGTTTTTAAATGTGGCCAGGCAAGTGAAAGAATAAGATATTTGTTTATTGCTGTTCATTTAAGGGACAAATGCTGTCCATTTAAGAGAAGGCTGGGGGAGCTCATTCTGCCCTTCTGTCTGCTGTTCATTTTCTGTCTTCTATAAGCAGTCTGGACACACTGTGGATTTCAAATCGCATGGAAATAGTAAAGAGGGGGGAAACTCTTTTAAGTGTTGGTCAGTAGAAGAAGTCCGCTTCGGTGGTAGAGTTTGACAAAGAAGCCACTGCCAAAGGCCTGAGGGGGGTAGTAAGAAAAAGATGGAGGAATGTCAATACCAGTGAGGATGACATCAAAGCGTATTTCTTTTTTTTTTATCAGGAATGAGTTTGCATATTTTCAGAAAATGACCAGAACTACTACACAGAAAGGTAACATTACCTAATTTTTCCCTTGTCTGTTCTCTTTCCTTTTCCCTATTGTCCTAACTTACGTCCACATATGAGTGAAGTGTAACTTTTAGCAAAATAAAAGTTCATTCCCCTTTGATCATTAAAATTAAGATGAAACCATTTTTCCAGTTGCATGATTTCTAAGAATATTTCATACAAACATAAGAGAAGCCGTGCTGGAGCAGGCCAGTGGCGCATCCTCTCCAACACTCCATGTCACATAGTGGCCAAAATCATCAGGCGGTCCACCAGTAGGGCCAGAATTCCAGAAGTCCTCCCACTGTGGCTCCCCAGGCACCAAGAATACAGAGCATCACTGCCCCAGACATAGTGTTTCCTCTATAAAGGTAAAGGTTCCCTTGCTCGAAAGCCAGTCGAATCCGACTCCAGGGTTGCGGTGCTCATCTCTGTTTCAAAGCCGAAGAGCCAGCGCTGTCCAAAGACACTTCCGTGGTCATGTGGCCAGCATGACTAAACACCAAGGTGCACAGAACGCTGTTACCTTCCCACTGAAGTGGTACCTATTTATCTACTTGCAATTTCTTGCTTTCGAACTGGAACTAGAGACAGGCGCTCACTCCGTCATGCGGCACACTCAGGTCTTGAACTGCTGAACTACCAACCTTCCACAGCCTGCAGATCAGCATCTTAACCACTTGAGCCACCGCAGTTTCCTCTATACCTTGTGGCTAATAGCCACTAATGAACCTTTGCTCCATATATTTATCAAATCCCCTCTTGAAGCTGTCTATGCTTGTAGCTGCCACCACTTCCTGTGGCAGTGAATTCCACATGTTAATTACTCTCTGGGTGAAGAAGTACTTCCTTTTATCTGTTCTAAAACCTACTGCTCATCAATTTCATTGAGTGCCCACGAGTTCTTGTAGTGTGAGAAAGAAGGAAAAGTACTTTTTATCTACCTTGTCTATCCCATGCATAATTTTGTAAAAAATATCACCCTTCAGTCATCATTTCTCCAAGCTAAGGAGCCCTAACCTCTTTACCTTTCTTCATAGGGAAGGTGTTCCATCCCCTTCATCGTTTTAGTTGCCTGTTTCTGCACCTTTTCCAATGCTGGGTTTTGTTTTGTTTGTTTTTTGAGGTGCAGTGACCGGAACTGTACACAGTATTCCAAATGAGGCCGCACCATAGATTTATAGAGGGGCATTATGATACTGGCTGATTTGTTTTCAATCTCCTTCCTAATAATCCCCAACATAGCAGTTGCCTTTTTTATTGCAGTTGCACACTGAGGACCCCGGTCACAGGGGCCGGATATCGCGGGGGGGAGGCGTGGCTAATTGCCCCGGAGGAAACTAACACGCGGCTGCCCGAGCACGCGTCCCGGTCGTGGTCCCATAGTTCGGGGGAAATGCCGATCAGATGGGTATCCTGCCGTGCGCTTGATCGCACTAGCAATTGCTCTTTGTGCACATGCGCCGTTGGGCGCTGTTGTGCAACCTGCGGAGACGAACAGCGGCAGGCGGCGGATGCCACGTAAGTTCACCAGGAACACGATCAGACGCCCGCCCTTGGCCCACAGTTTCGGGAAACTAGTACCTCGTAGGTACTAGTTTTTAACTCCACACCTTCGGCAGGGAGCCACGGGTTAGCCACGGGAACTCTGCACTTCCCAGATGTTGGGGTGAGATTGCGCCCGGAAAATCTGTGGGACTCCTGTGCCTCTCCCGTGGCAACTTTGCCGTGTGACCGGGGCCCGAATTTACATTTTCCGTGAGTTATCTACCATGACTCCCAAGATCTCTCTCCTTGTCAGTTATCACCAGTTCGGACCCCATCAACATGTATTTATAGTTGGGTTTTTTCGCTTCACTGTACATTACTTTGCACTTGCCTATGTTGAACCTCATTTGCCATGTTGATGCCCACTTGTCCAGCCTCAACAGATCCTTCTAGAGCACCTCACAGACCTCCTTGGTTTTCACTACCCTGAACAACTTCGTGTCATCTGCAAACTTAGCCACTTCACTGCTTAGTCCTAACTCCAAACCATTAATGAATAAGTTAAAAAGCAGACCTAGTACTAAGCCCTGTGGTACCCCCACTGCTTACTGTCTTCCAATGTAAAAACTGCCCATTTATACTCACTCTCTGTTTCCTGTTAATTAACCAGTTTTTAATCCACAAGAGGGCCTCTTATCCCATGACAGCTGAGCTTACTTAGGAGCTTTTGATGAGGAACTTTATCAAGTTTTCTGGAAGTTTAGGTGAACAGCATCTGTTGGGTCACCCTTGTTCACATGTTTGTTCATCTCCACAAAGAACTCGAAAAGGTTAGTGAGACAAGATCTTCCCTTACAGAATCCATGCTGGTTCTTCCTCAATAGTTTTGTTCATCAGTGTGCCTACTAATTCTAGATTTAATGATGGATTCTACCAACTTACTCGGTATTGACGTTAGACTGACCTGCCTGTAATTTCCTGGATCTCCTCTAGAACCTTTTAAAAGATGTGCATAACATTCCAGTCCTCGGGAATGGAGGCTCCATCTTGTATGTCCTGCAGAACTGTAAAAGTTCCCGAGGGCCCTGATCTCTTCTGGGAGCTCATTCCACCAGTACGGAGGAACCACTGAGAAGGCCCTGGCCCTGGTTGTGGCCAGCCTGGCATCTTTAGGACCTGGGAGGCCAATCAATTTTGTGACCCTGAGTGCAGTGCTCTCTGGGGAACATTTAGGGAAAGGCGTTCCCTCAGGTATGTGGGCCCCTGACCATAAAGGGCTTTAAAGGTAAGTACCAGCACCTTGAAGCGAATTCGGTATGCTATCAACAGCCAGTGCAGTGCTTTCAGCACAGGCTGGATGTGCTCCTCATAGGGAGGCCCATCAGAAACCTGGTTGCAGCATTTTGCACTAGCTGTAGCTTCTGGATTTGGGTCAAGGGCAGCCCCATGTAGAGAGCATTACAGTAGTCCAATCTTGAGGTGACCATTGCATGGATCACTCACCAACTGCCTAATCAGCTGGAGGTGGTAAAAGGCTGATTTGGCAGTGGCTGCTACCTGGGTTTCCATTGTTAGGCATCCAGGAGCACTCCCAAGCTCCTAATCTCCAGCGCTGGTGCCAATGGCGCCCCATCAAAGGCCAAAAGTAGGATCCCTACCCTCAGACCGCCCCAGCTCGGGCACAGGACCTCCGTCTTCGTCGGATTCAATTTCAGTTGGGCCAACCAGCCACAGTTTGCAATGCCCGGTCCAGATTTTCTGTTGTAGAGTCAGACTGGCTACCCAACAACTGATAGAGCTGGGTGTCATCTGCATACTGGTGACTTCCCACACCATGGCCCTGGGCAATCTGGGCAAGGGGGCACATGTAGATGTTAAATAGCATTGGGGACAGCAACGCCCCTTGGGGCACTCCACAAATCAGTGGGTCCCTTTGGGATAGCTGCTCCCCTAGCGCAACCCTTTGTCCCCAACCCTGAAGGAAGGAAGCCAGCCATTGCAAGGCAGGTCCCTGGACTCCAGTGTTGGCAAGGCGGTGGATCAGTAACTGATGGTAGACCATGTCGAACATGTCCAACAGCAATATCATTGCCAATCCTCCAGAGGTCATCCGTGAGGGCGACCAGTGCTGTCTCTGTCCCGTGGCCTGGGTGGAAACCGGACTGGAAAGGATCTAGAATGGAAGTGTCATCCAAAAAGCTCTGTAGCTGAATTGCCATAGCCCTCTCAATTATTTTGCTCAAATAGGGCAGATTGGAGACCAGCCGGTAATTAGCCAATTTGGCCAGATCCAGAGATGCCGTTTTCAGGAGGGGACGAACCACAGCTTCCTTCAGTGCCCTAGGGAACTGTCCCTCTGAGAGGGACTTGTTGATAATCTCCCTTAGGGCATCTCGAAACCCATCACGGTCAGCTTTAATTAGCCATGGTGGGCACGGGTCAAGGCAGCATGTGGTAGGGCGTACAGTTAAGAGCAGTTTGTCAACTTCCTCCAGGCTGAGTGGACTGAAATAATCCATAACCTGACTAGAAGACTTGCATGGAGCCTAGAGTTCACTTACTGTCTCAACTGTCGTGGGGAGGTCACGGCAGAGCGCCAGGACTTTATCTGCAAAGTAGCTCGCAAAGGCCTCACAGCCAGTGTCCAATTCCCTAACATTTGATCTGCCTTGTGCCAGAACAGTCATAGACCGAATTATTCTAGATAATTGGGCTGGGCATGAGCTTGCAGACACAATCATGGCCACATAATACTTTCAGTGGCTTTGACTGCCATCTCATAGGCAACGTCCTATAAGATGTTGTGGCTTTGTCGCAGGCGCACCACTACTGCTGCTCTAGTCATCTTAGCCTTCGCTTCATCAGCTGCAACTCCTGGGTAAACCAAGGAGCCAGCCTAGAGTGAGGGCGCAGAGGATGTTGGGGAGCGATCTCATCGATAGCTGCTGAGAGTCAGCTGTGCCAATCCTCCACAAGCTCATCTAATGAGCCGATCGGGGCATCGGATCCTGCAGGGCCATTTGAAGCCATATAGGGTCCATTTGGCTCCACGGGCGAGCTGAAATCTGCTCACCACCCAAACAGGGTCAGGGCGAAACATTCATATGGGCCTTCCGGGCATGATGGCCCAATCATGGCACTGCTAAGGCAGTGATCCGGTCCACTGTGACCCCTGCCGCGAAGATCAGATTGAGCGTGTGCCTGGCCCGGTGAGTGGGAGTCATTACATATTGGGAGAGTCTCAGCGACACTAGGTCTATCGCCTGAGTGGAGGATGGACATTGAAATCACACAGGACAATCAGTCTAGGGTGTTCCAGTGCCCAGTCCTACACAGCCTCCACCAGGGATGGCAGGCAGTTTAAGCTGCCTTCCCTTCCCTCCAAGGGCCAGTTTGCCCGGGCTCCCCGCAGCCACCCTGTCAGGGGTGTGGCCTATTATGCTAATGAGTTCCTGCTGGGCTTCTTCTACAAAAAATGCCCTAGGAAGAATATTGGCTAATTGAGTTTAATTAGGGAAGTGAACTAGCGCAGGGATTTCCACCTCTCATAGTTGCAATAACTTTAAGGAAATTATGTATTTATATAAAATCATATTTTTAGTAAATTGTAATACACAGTTTTATATTTTGATTCATGTTATCCCATGGACTCAGTCTGTCTAGTCTGATGAATATTAAGATACCGGAATATAATAACTTACGTTTTATCATCAAGGGTAACTAGTAGCAGAGAAATAGAGATTTAATATCTAGAATAAAATAGGTAAGCTTCAGGCTTGGTTGACAATGGGACTTATTCTTGAGTATATTGGAAATGGGGGTGGGATTTCAAGCAAAATGCTATTCTCCATATAACCTAAACAGTACCTAATAATTAATGATTTAGAGTGACAATACTTCACACACATTATATAAGAGCCTTTTAAGAATTCTTCAAAGAAGGTCTTTTAGTATCTCCATATTGCCAGGGGTGGGTGCTGAGGCTTAGAGGGTGTCACTTGCCACCTAATTAGTATTTGAACCAGGAACTTGGAGCAGTCTTTAGGCACTGTGCCACACTACTCCTTGCATTATCATAGTAGACAGATGATGTATTTTTTAGCTTCTTATGAATGCTTATTGTAATGTTGGTCCATTGGTTTGAGGATTATAACATTGTTATTTAAACAAGAACTCAGTAAGGAAATACAACCACTAGATGTCACTACATAAATACATCAAATATCTTTTCTGTGTTGTACAGGAAAACAAAACGTAGTGATAATGGGTAGGAAGAGTTGGTTCTCCATTCCTGAAAAAAGTCGGCCTTTAAAAGGCAGAATTAATATAGTGCTCAGCAAACAACTGAAGTAAGTACTATGTTTTGGTAATATGTTTTTATTACAGAAGTGAATTAGCACAGAATGCAGAGTTTTGGTTATTTTTTAACCATGCCACCTTGATGTAGTGGTTAAGTGCACGGACACTAATCTGAGAGAACTGGGTTTGATTCCCCACTCCTCCACTTGCAGCTGCTGGATGACCTTGGGCAAGCCATAGTTCTGTCAGAGCTGTTCTTAAAAGAGCAGTTTCTGTCAGAGCTCTCTCAGCCCCACCTACCTCACAGGGTGTCTGTTGTGGGGAGGGGAGGGGAGAGGAGTTTGTAAGCTGCTCTGAGACTCTGAGTGAAGAGTGGGGTATAAATCCAATCTCCTCCTCTTCCTCTTCGTCTTCTACTACTACTACTACTACTACTACTATTACTACTACTTATTATTATTATTATCCTAGAACAGGGCATTGTGCTTAGAAGCTGTTAGCGGTGAAAAGCATTACCTGCAGTAATAATCATATTACCAGTTCCCACAGCTTTTACTGTGCTTTTTCAATTCCTTTTACTTCATTGGAAGAAATTAATGTATAACATGTTAGTTAAAAAGCCTTTGACTTTCAGGATAACATTTATTTTTCATTTTTCTAATATAAAATTAATCCTACCATAGGTTGCTGGGCTTAGAATGATGCCATATAACCATGATAGGGTTTTTATTCAATTTTCTTCTAACAGAAAAGTGAATGTACATCTCTACTTCTGATACTCTTCAGGGCAGCAAGAGAGGGGCTGTCTTTCAGGCAACATATTCAAATGAAAAGCACTGTTAGTTTTAAAAGGGGCAGCTCCAGGGGGTAACCTTGTGCAATGTCCAGAAGCAATTATGATTTTCTTAAGCATTTTTATAATATGCATTGATGTTTGTGTTTTATAGGGAAACGCCTGAAGGAGCTCACTTTTTGGCTAGAACTCTAGATGAAGCACTAGATCTCCTAGAATTACCAGAGTTGGCAAAACTGATAGACATGGTTTGGATTATTGGAGGCAGTTCGGTATATAAGGTATGGTTCAAACACAATATTAATTCTATAAAATTATATAATGCAGAGGCACTCTATTAAAGGATCAAAATCTTTGGAACGCAGAAGATGGCATTTTTCATCGTTTTGTTGCTGGCATTTACACAAGCTTCAGCAAAAAGTTTTTTGTGATTTCATGAAGTAGTGATACTGCTTAGTGCATTATGTAAAGCCTTTCTCTTTCAGTGTTTTCATTTCATTCTCACTCTAAACTTGTTACAGTTGCATCTACTGAACAAAATTAAGTTTATGATACAAAGAATACAAATGTTAATGTTGCGGAACTTTTTTGTGTCCTGGGCAGAGCAATCCTTTGTTGCACCTGTGCGGCAGCGGCTGACTACAGCGCCACTAGTTGCCTCCCTAAGGGGACAGTTAATGTGGCAGCCAAATGGGGGGGAAAGGTGCCCCAACAGTGTTGCCGGGTGCTGCCACAGCAGCATCCATAGTGATCCCAACTGCAGCATTCCATTCCAGTGTTGTTGCAAGGCGGGGGCAGCATGATAGAAAGGGCAGGTAAGACCAGTGGGAGCCCAAGCCAAGCGTCCATCACTGGCAAGGGGTGGAGGGGTGGGCCATAGGAGCGATGCTCCTCCTCTGCTGCACACACACACTTAGAGCCCAGCTGCCATTACAAGCCCTGGCCACCTGTCAGTGGGGAGGGCAGCATCACCCGGCAGCCACTGTTACAGATGCTGCCAGCCTCTCCATCCATTGCTGCCTCCTGCAAAAGGCTTCCCACCACTCACGACGACTCTCCAGCTGCTCCCACTCAATTGCTGCCCACATGCATGAAAAGATGGGTGAGATGGGCTGTGCCAGACATGGGTAATGCCCAGGGACCCAGCAAGAAGCTAGAATCCCCTCCCTTCTCTGGGCAGTATGTGGCTGCTCTGGCTGTTACTGCATCCTCGGTCCTCCTCGCCAACATCAGAGGATGGACCCGCAGCAGCATCCCCACTCTGCGAGTCACCTGCAGGGTGGAGTTACATTGGTCAGGACAATGCGGAGGCAGTTGGAGGCAGCGGGTGGCAGGATCTGGCCCCCACAGCTGGGGCCAGGAGGTGGTGGCAGCGACTGTGACACTCACCACACAGAATTTCAACACAGCAGCCACCCACCACCATGGGGGGTATCACTGCCAGCATGATGGCCTCTGCTCCTGGCAGATCCTCCTCCACTGCCCACTCAAAAGGAAAACCAGACGGAAAATGCTTTGGAAGCCACCTAACTGACACCATTCCCCCGGAATGCCCACATCTACACCAGCAGCGGGATTTGTCCTGTTGCTCTGTGGGCGTGTGGCTACAGTACTCCTATGCCAGCGGGACTTAGTGGTGCAGCGCCTCTAGTGCCCTGCACCAGCATAAACTGCCCTTAGCATTGGCATAACTCCAAGTTATGCCAGCGTAGGGGTCAGTCAAATCTAGAGATGGGCACGAACTGGGAAAATGGTGGTTCATGGTTCATTTGATTACACGAACCATGAACCACAAACTTTCATGAACTTTTCCCGTTTCGCAAACCAGTTTGTGGTTTGTTCACTTCATGAGTTTGGAAGGTGGTAGAACAGCCCCCTTGCAAGTTCGAGATGCCAGACTCACAGGGAGTCTTCATCAGGCTCTCCTCCACTCGCCCTCCAAGTTTGGCGAAGATTGAATTCAGGATTTCTGAGTTATAGCCTCCCAAATCAGGTGCCCCCAGGAAAGCTCAGCTCTAGCCTCCCCTTAAATCAGTCACGCAGCAAGCAATTCTTCTTCTCACAGGACAATTAATTCCCCTCTCTTCCTACTGCAAAGTGAAAGGAGCTGAATCAGGGTGTAGGATATATACAGTCTGCTCCCATAGAGCAGAATGAGAGCTCTGTGGTTGGCTCCCAGACCTGCCAATCAAACTATAGACAGCAGCTATGGATGTTTCTAGGGCTCTCCATAAGTCCAGCCCCAGCATTGCCTAGGAATTGATTGAATTGGCGCCAGGATGTGTGTAGAACGAACTGCTCTAACAAACCAAATGAACCTCCATGAGAAAAGGCAGTTTGTTTTTTGGATTCAGGAGCAATGCAACTAAATGAACCCGTTTAAAATGAACCATGAACCAGCCTGGTTCGTGCTCAAACC